TGTGATATAAAGTAACAGTTTAAGTGTATAAAATTGTCTCATGATAAAAACATTGTTCTGATATACGACGTTAACGTCACAGTATAACATTTAGTTTAATCTTATGAAGAAATAAAAAGTATGAAAAAATGATCAAGCCTATTATTTTCTACAATAAGCTAATATATTTACTTATAATATATTAATGTATTTATTAAATGTACACAAATTTTCACACAATATATACATTTGAAAATGTTTTAGTTAACAAAGAGCACAATGTAAAAAAGCAACAAAATAATTTATACAAAAGTAATTCGATTAAAATTAAGTGAACTTAAGACTTTTCAACGATTTTAAATTGTATAAATAAACATAAATAGTTATACAAAAAAAATAGCTATGTTCGGGAATTTATTTAATTATTCTGCAATAGGACTAATAAATAATGTATAATAATAAATGTACATAATAAAAGAAAATTAAATGTCTAGAAATAAACTTCACATAATGTAGAAAACATTTAATTTAATTAGCCTTCATTTTAAGTGGCTTTTCTGACAACAAAATACAACATTACATAAAAAAAACTCAGCATAGTGGGGACGTGGCATAGTTGGATCAAGTATATTAATATCTGTGATTAAAATCACTATCATAAAAAATGCTTCGATGCAAATCTGTAGATAGTGTTTAATTAAAAAAAAATGATGGCTTTTCCAAAAGCTACACAATCTCCTATTTCCTTATTTATATTCTGATTATAAGTTTTATGATTTATAAGTGTAATATATAAATAAATATACATATATATATATATATATATTTAAAATATAAGAATGGATTTTTTTTACAAAAATCGTATTTTTTTATATTAAATTTAATATTTGCTCTCACCGTGAAATCAAAATAAAGTCTGAATTTTTTTTTTTAATATTTAAGTATATTACATAAGTTTTAATTCTAGATTTATATAAAAGTGTCAGAGTATCCGGAACAATTTCAAAAGTTAAGTTGAAAAAGTTTTATTTTCTATGTGCATTTTTAACTTTTGAACCCCCCTGCATTAAGGGAAATGGTCCGATTTAAAATAAAAGTATGTCTAATGAAAGAAGTATATAAATATTATTTCTCATGAAAAAATTGTATTGATCCATACATTTTTCAAAAAGTTATAGCATTATGAATTTAAAAATGTAAAATATAAAATCGATAAATTTAACACAAAAATAGCATACGGTAGCTATTTTCAAAGTGAAGACAAAATAAAATCCGACATTTTTTTACATAAGCTTTAATTTAAGATATAAATAAAAGTGTCAGTATTTCCAAAACACTTTCAAAAGTTGAAAAAGTTAATTTTTGTAAGAAAGTTGTTATTTTGAATCCGCCCTGTGGGCAGGTGAAGGGTCGATTTGTGATCGACATTTGACGAATCGTTGAAAATATAACCTATTAAAAATTATGTATGAAAATATTATTATTGCAAAAATAATGACGATGCTATTTTTGTTAATATTTATTATTAAATTTATAATTTTTTATTCTAATATATTTTTTGTTCTTTGTTTGAACTTCTGGTATATGTAGAAATTAATTAATTATATGCTATTACATATAAGTTTATTTTAATACAGAAAATATAGGAGGCACATCATACAAACCTGTTAAATTTGTTTGAATAGCGTTGACTATGAAGAAATATATAGAGCGGTAGAGCATATTATTACCACTGTTATAACTTTTGATACAATTAGTATTTTGCTTTAATTCTTTAAAAATTATTTATGAATTCTTAGATTACGTTAAAATTATATATTTTATTATTTGTTTCTAATAATGAAAATATTTACAAAAAAAAGTGCTTAATTAAGTAGCGTCGATGTTTTTGGAATAATAATAATGTATTTTTCTTAGTTTTCTTTTTTTTTTTTTCATTACATACAATATTGGGCACAAATTAATTAATCTATAAAAAAATAATCAAATAGTAATACTGCAATATTACTCTTACAATAGATATATACTATTTATAAAATTATTATTATTTGTCAATAAATTAAAAATAGGACAAATTAGAAATTCGCATCATTTCGATAGACAAAAATAATTTTTATGATATTTTCATTAAATAGTGTTTTTCTCTGTTAATGACGAACGAAATAAATTTTTTATTGTAAAAAATATTTTATTCTACGATGGTGCTCGACATTGGAGACCCAGAAATTCATTCTTTCTACTGAAATACCGCCACGGGCGTAACGTACTGTATTTTTCAAAACGAATTTCAGGAATATAATCTATCAAAACACTTAAATTGCGAACGCCGTTCGTCATGTCTCTCATAGTCGAGCGCCTACGGTCGTTTATTAATGGCGCTCGACTTGGAGCTGGCGGTTTGAATGTCGCGCTTGCCAAACGTTTGCTCGATGGTGTGCGTGAATAAATCTTTGGTCTAGACGTTTCTTTTTACACTCTGCTACACCTCGGTTTTTGGGCCGGGCCGAGGGTAATTAAAGGAATCTATCTCTTACGGCGGAACCGCTAGGTGGTGATTAATCTGCTCGTTAATTACAGCGCCGGATGTTTCAAACAAGCGGCAGCCACCCTCGTCTTCTTGGCTTCGGATAGGAGAAACCCAGTACCTATACACGCATATGATACTCGAGACAGACGGGGGTCATGATGTGCGTATCGGGTAATGATCTTTTCACGAGCACTTCCATGCATATGTATATGCACGGTTGGTAAGATTATTACACGCGCCGATAGATCAAAGGAGAACGAAGATAGAGGGGAGTTTAATTTGTCATTTAGCGAAACATAACGCGTAGGGTTCGACGTGAAGCCGTTTGACCTGACTTGACCTGACTTGACCGCCAATTAACTTAACCGGTCTCGTAGTTTCATTCAACTTGATTGACCGGCTATACAAACATTTGTTATGTATAATAAGTTTTTAATTAAATCAGAGTCCAATGAAATGATATTCACGAGTGGCGCAACAACACGTGTGCGTTATGATTTCTCGTACGTTTGTCGGACATAACGATTACAATTGCAATGATCGTTGACCGGAAGGCAAACATACCCTTAAACGATCCAGAGGTATTCTGCGGAGATTCCGAACGGGATGATCACAGATAAGCGTATTTTATCTAAACAACTCTGTTTATTAACCCCTACGCGTTATCCTCTGATAATCGTTTCTGGCATGAAGCAGATTCGTCCAATTGATTTCAACCATGCGATACCGACCATTGTGTTTTCGGATGATAATATTCCACGGACACGTTAATCAGAATGGAAGCCATTGACGGCAAACAAAACCGACCGCAATTTTTCGGTCGACTTTAGCGCTTAACAAATATTTGTCCATTAGTCGCAAAACGGGCAAAATTTATTTGATATTATACAAAACATGGCACTGTAAGCCAACACGCGGCAGACGTCGAATTAAAAAAAAAAGTCTTGGTAGTATTATTTTCAAAAGCGAAAAATTAAATTTTCAAAACATGAAAATCTGTGCAATTTAAATAAAAAGCGTCCAAAAATATTGCGCATTATTCGCATTTTGAATGCTCTTCCATTCCCCAGCGATTCCCTTTTCTGTTTATTAATTTGGACAAACACTAGTTGTGCGACACATTATTTAGATTGTTCTTTTTTAAAAGTGGTTCTGATTTCATTACGCTCATGACGGCAAGTACAAACCAAGAACATTAGAGTAATCATAACCATAGTCAAATCAAGTCAAATATTACAATCACAGCCCTTTGATGTGTTCAATTTTCGTACTGTGCCGTTAGACTCAACGAAAGTTCATAAATTATGTATGAACAACAGCAGTTGGTTTTATTAACGGACACGATTCGCTTTTTTATCATCTAATTAAATCATCTTCATAATGAAGAATTCATCGAACGGCGGTCGCGTTTTTATTTCTCATTTTCAACATTAAAACTATAAGTGATTTATGAATTTATTGATTTCGTATTTATTTTAAAGCGTTATCTTTTGACATCCGATGATTATCTATAACTTGTATACGATAACGAATTCGTTTATATAATATCTGTCATTTCAATAACGAATGCAATGAGTCGCGTATATTTTATTATAATTTATAGTGATGATAATAATATTCTATGCGAAAGGGTTGAAATACTGAATCTCAATTATAATTGTCAGTAGAAGTCAAGTTCTTCCAACCGAATCTACGCTGTGGTTTATCACTTGGTCGGAAACTTTGTTGATATTATTTTAAACAGTGTAAAATTATCATTTTAGAAATCGAGTTCAATATTTATCTCTCACAGTTTTGGCTATCTTGCGATTAATTTGCATGTTTATTAATTTTATTATTTTTTGCATTTATAACGAAATACAGATTGTTAGATGAATAAAATTGCTTAAAGGTTTTTTTTAATTAATTTGTGTTGTTCCGTGTCAAAACGACGAGAAACGGTCTCGAAGAAAATTCGAGTGACTCCGAATGAACATGAAAAAAAACTCTTTTTTTTTTTTAATTACGTAATTAATTAGTGGCATAGTTTTAGCCCTGTCGGAATAAACAACGACTAATCAAATGAATTAATATTCATTAAATTAGTCGGTGTTATAACTAATAGTGCAGCGACATGACCTAATTATTACTTTTCATTTTGATATATTAATTAAGTGTATTATAATATGAACAAAATACCGTTAAATTCAATTCGCTGTAAATGCGCTTATCCGACTTAATAATTCAACTTTTGTTTATTTAAACATACACGTCTGCCAGTAACTGACAATGTTGTAACACACGTATAATTAATAGACAATATATTAATAAACTTTCCATAAAAAAATATCATTGGGATTATTTACTTCGAGTTCAATTTTCGATCAAATTCATTCTAAAGAGTATTTATTAGATGGCTGACTAACTTTTCGAATTTACAGCAATGCTATTTAATACACACAGTATTCCATCTGTAGTAAACGGTAACACTGTTAAAGTTCTAGATTGGTTTTACCTGTAGAGCATCCTCTCTTGACGGTCGGCTTCTTGGTAAATCCTATAGTATGTAAACAGCATGATGACGCCAGGCACCCAGAACGACACGCCCGAGGAAACGACGGCGTATTTCTTGTTCACTGTGAACACGCACACGTCTGGATTCTTGTCTTTCTGAGACCAGTGAACGTCTGTCGTGTACAGTCCGGCAAATATAGGCACAAATGAAATGAGCACTGGCGACACCCAGACAAAAGTGAGCATGACCACGGTACGGGCCTTTGTCATGATGAGCGGATAGTCAAGTGGCTGTACAATGGCGTAGTATCTGTCAACGCTTATACAACACAAGTGCAGTATCGACACAGTTGAAAAATACACGTCCATGGAGTTCCAAAAGTCACACATGAACACGCCGAATAACCAAGAACCGGTCACCTCGACGCTAGCGTTGAAGCACATGGCGAATATAGCGACGAGCATGTCGGCCAGTGCCAGAGATACTACGAAGTAATTGGTGATGACGCGGAGCTTGCGATGTCGCATCACACTCACCATAACTAACAGATTGCCAAATAACGCAGCTACAATGATGAATATCATTGCCGCACACTTGACCAGGTGGCCAATTAACCGGATTTGGTGTGTCACCGATCCTAAAAAATCGTGATCCGCTTCGACCACGGCCGCCATCGGCATAGCTGCTGCAGACATCCTTCCTGCCGTCATCACCACTACTGTTGCCGTATCGTTGGCCAACATATTGTGCGTGACCGGCCGCACACTTGGTAACTACATAATCACCTCACTCTCGGCCGCCTATTCCGTCTCCTAATTTGAACTGGTTGCTGGCTCATTGATTTACTTTATTGATATTCTGAAAAAAATAATGAGTTATCTCAAAATATATTTATATGAATGTCATAGGACATGTTCTATCGATAAAGTTAAATGTTTTCAAATACAAATTATAAAAAAAATTACGAGAATATTATAAGGTATCTCCGAAGTATATATAAGGATATCCCCCGTCTTCTTCGTGGGGGGGATATATTTTCATGAATCTCTGTTGATGAAGAGAGTAACTGTATAAAATTGGTTTAAAAGTATTAAGAAAATATTTGATTAAAACTATTTCGAATTTAGATTTGTTAATGAAATAAAATTTGGATGTATTTTTTCATTTAACGTTGAATATTTTATCAACTGATATGAAAAATTAAGTTTTAATTGAATTTTAAAAGAGAATTTTTCAAGGAATCGCCTCATTCATCCGAAGTAAAGGTTTTCTCAGGATTGAATGCCTACGACGGACACGCGACTGTTAAGCTCGAAATTCAAAGCACGTTCGGTGGACATTATATACGTCCAACGACATAAACCTCTCCTCGAACTTATCATTAAAGTCCTTTCTACAAATGAGTCGTTAGCCATAGGGTTCGTTGTAGGTACACGGTGTAATTTGTAATAAAAGCTTCAAACGCAGCTATTTACATAATAATGACGATAATACGAACAACATATAATAGTCGAAAGGAGCGCCAATAAATAATTACACTAGTAGCCATCAGAGAATAATTTAGTTTTCTCAAGTTGAATTCCGATCGATAATGACTTTATTTTTGTATGTTACAAAAACGAACGGTACGAAAATTGACAAAAAGACTGAAAGTAGAATTAAAATGATTATTTTACCGCGTTTCTTACACGCAATAAGAATACACGTTCTTTTTCTAAAAAAATGAAAAATATTACATTAAAATAAGGAACATAATGTCGTTTTATAGACTTTATCTGAACTTAATCGTTACCACCTCGAACAATCTAAAAAATAACGTCAACGTACAATACATTTAATATATCATTGAAAAGTTTTTCTTTTATACCGTTAAGAGATTGTAGAAAAATTTATCTTCCAGTCATTCTATAATTGTAATACGACCAAAATCAGTAAAGTCTAGTATTATCTGGTAAAACGTTATCAAAAAAACGCGATTTTCACAGTTATGATAAAACCAATGTACAGCGAAAAAATTTCAATTATTTCAATTGACTGGATGACATTGTAAAGTTTTTTTGAACCAAATAATCTTTCTCTTTATGAAAATTAATATTTCAAATGGTATTATAGCTGGGCCTAATTATCTATATATATACATTATTATAATAATAATATATTTTTTTCTCTATTTGTCATTTATATCTCTTCTTTTAACTTTAAACTCAAAAGGAATGCCCTTCCTACAGACTAAACAATTTAATTTTATACACACCCAATCACTTTTCTGTCACTCCATTTCAATATATATATATATTTTAATTTATGTTATTTTTTTTTTAATATCTCTTAACAGATTATTATCTGTTAAATACACCACATTTGTATTTTTCGTATTACTATGAAATTTAAGTTACTCGATAGATCAAGTATATTTTTTTACAGCAAGACTTAATATTTTATTCATATGTTCGTTTAGAAAAATGAAAACCCAGCAGTATTTCCTCATTCTCTTATATAGTTTGTTGACATATTTTATACAATTTTTGCTAATTACTATATATTATATTGTTATTGGGCGACTAATGCTTTGTATCTTCAAAAATATATAATTATATATTTATATATTTGAATTCACCAAATAATGTCGTTCTCCTGCTTCTTTTAATGTCTCACAAATTTGATTTTTTTTTCAAGTTGCAAGTGGGGCTTTTTTATAATTCGGCCCGTAACAACAACATGGTTTGCCACTTGCATAACGACTAGCTATAGTAGCAAGGGTCGCCACCACCTAGGCGAGGTGTCACACCTATCAGATATGATTACCGGACCATAGGTGGAATTTAATTTTAAGTTAATTAAAAGTATAATCTAAGTTAATATGTCGTTATATGTATAAATTACTATAATACCTCGTGGTTTATTAAACACAATTATGACAATCAAAGTTGTATGTGGTTGATATGTAAAACGTACCGTAGCTCGTGTCTAGATTAAGGAATAGGGATAAAATACACGCGAGTAATTAAGTTACTCGTGCAATAAAATAAATATTACAGTTGAAATTAATAAGGAAATTTAATTGTTAAAAAAAGAAAATTAAGTTAAACATGGACAAAAATGCGAATGTATCAAAAACCATGTCTACAAATAAAGGCAATAAAAATAAAATAAAATATTTAAACAAATAATATTACAAACATCACGGACGGTATTGGAACACATCCGTTAATGTTAATCGGAAAATAATGAAAAACGCCAGGAGCGGTCTGGACACTCGCTCCTTAGCGTTGGCTAGAAGAAAAGGGAAACACGTGCTCTCCACACATAAACAAAATTAAGTTAATTTACGATAAAATAAAAATGAAATAAAATAATTAATAAAATATAGGTCATTACATAAATATAATATATAAAAGAAAACGATACCGGGTCTCCGAAGAGACCCATCCGATGATCTGGATGCNAATGCCCTTCCTACAGACTAAACAATTTAATTTTATACACACCCAATCACTTTTCTGTCACTCCATTTCAATATATATATATATTTTAATTTATGTTATTTTTTTTTTAATATCTCTTAACAGATTATTATCTGTTAAATACACCACATTTGTATTTTTCGTATTACTATGAAATTTAAGTTACTCGATAGATCAAGTATATTTTTTTACAGCAAGACTTAATATTTTATTCATATGTTCGTTTAGAAAAATGAAAACCCAGCAGTATTTCCTCATTCTCTTATATAGTTTGTTGACATATTTTATACAATTTTTGCTAAGTACTATATATTATATTGTTATTGGGCGACTAATGCTTTGTATCTTCAAAAATATATAATTATATATTTATATATTTGAATTCACCAAATAATGTCGTTCTCCTGCTTCTTTTAATGTCTCACAAATTTGATTTTTTTTTCAAGTTGCAAGTGGGGCTTTTTTATAATTCGGCCCGTAACAACAACATGGTTTGCCACTTGCATAACGACTAGCTATAGTAGCAAGGGTCGCCACCACCTAGGCGAGGTGTCACACCTATCAGATATGATTACCGGACCATAGGTGGAATTTAATTTTAAGTTAATTAAAAGTATAATCTAAGTTAATATGTCGTTATATGTATAAATTACTATAATACCTCGTGGTTTATTAAACACAATTATGACAATCAAAGTTGTATGTGGTTGATATGTAAAACGTACCGTAGCTCGTGTCTAGATTAAGGAATAGGGATAAAATACACGCGAGTAATTAAGTTACTCGTGCAATAAAATAAATATTACAGTTGAAATTAATAAGGAAATTTAATTGTTAAAAAAAGAAAATTAAGTTAAACATGGACAAAAATGCGAATGTATCAAAAACCATGTCTACAAATAAAGGCAATAAAAATAAAATAAAATATTTAAACAAATAATATTACAAACATCACGGACGGTATTGGAACACATCCGTTAATGTTAATCGGAAAATAATGAAAAACGCCAGGAGCGGTCTGGACACTCGCTCCTTAGCGTTGGCTAGAAGAAAAGGGAAACACGTGCTCTCCACACATAAACAAAATTAAGTTAATTTACGATAAAATAAAAATGAAATAAAATAATTAATAAAATATAGGTCATTACATAAATATAATATATAAAAGAAAACGATACCGGGTCTCCGAAGAGACCCATCCGATGATCTGGATGCTTCGCCGAAACGACCTGGCCGTTCGCCCTTGACGGCTCCATCATTAAATAAGAATGCCAATAAAACAATAAACGTGTGCACCCTAGCACGGTCAATGACAGAAGAAAAAAATGGAGAAGAGCCAACACCGATCTAACGGCAATTTCAAATCGATAACGGCCAGTCTTTTTGGAAGGGATCATTACTGATATATAATTCGATTTTAATTATATTTCTCTTTTATCGCCTTATCTAGCGGTCAGCGGCAAAATAATGAGTGGTTGACACCGCTGTGTCAGGAAAAGGTTCCTTCGCGCCATAAAATAAATAAGTAGACGTAACAAAAAAATCATAAACGGTCCACCTTCGAATTTGTGACGTTACAAAGTTCAACATGTCATTTTCTATCGTATGTGTACAACAATCATTCATTAATGTCTTGATTTATTGATAATCAAAATAAAATCAGAAATAAGCGCGAATAATGGTTACAAATGAAATATTGATTGTTGAATTACTTAATGTTCATTTAAATAAAAATATTATAAGTTTTGTATAATTGTACAGTGTATAATATACACAGTCAATAATAATTTTGTAATTAGAAATTAACTCGGAACTATATTAATAAATAAATAATGTGCAAAAACTTTGAAATTATATCTTCAAACTAAAATGTTATTGAAGGACAGTCAAGAATATAATTGAAACACAATAATTCAATTAAAATGTATGAATAATAATTGTTTTTTCAATTTGTTATTCTTTCGAAAACTTGATCGAGTTTACTTTGAACCTTTTTGACGATACCTGTTAAATATCGTACAACTATAAGCTTGACTGAAGCAAATTAACGACAGAATATTTAGCAGTAACTCGCAATAAAATAATTCCCATACCAACTGTAGGACGGCAATTGGACATGCGTTTTGTTGTAATTTTTTCTATAAGCGACAGACATTACTTTTTGATAAAACAATAGCCAGCGCAACCGTTAGCAAATATTTGAAAACAATGGCGTCACCCCGAAATTAATATTAATCGACGTCTTATTGTATTATACTGGTGGATGTATAATATACAATTATATCATATCGTGCAAGCTTTCAATCCTGCGTCACGTTCTCCTACCAAGAACTCCTACACAGACCGTGATATCTTCTCTCGTTGCATATAAATCATAGTATTCATAAATATAAA